CTCTAAATATTTAAGGTTTCTTGGCCGTCACTTGGCAACTCAAAGTTTCAGCTCCCTCCTATAAATTTTCTATAGGATTAAGGTCTGAAGACTGGCTAGGCCCTCCATGACCTTAAGGTTTCTTCTTGAGCCACTCCTTTTTTGCCTTGGTAGTATGTTTTGGGTCATTGTCATGCTGGAAGACCCATCCATGACCCATCTTTAGTGTGGGAAGAAGGTTCTCATCCAAGATTTTACAATACATTGTCCCATCTATTGGCCCCCTCAATGCGGCAAGGTCAGCCTGTACCTTTAGCAGAGAAACAGCCCCAAAGCATAATGTTTCCACCTCCGCGCTTGACTGTAGGGATGGTGTTCTTGGGGTCATAATCCGCATTTTTTTTCCTCCAAACACGGCGAGTTGAGTTAATGCCAAAGAGCTCAATTTTGGTCTCATTTGACCACAGCACTTTCTCCCAATCCTTCTTTGAATCATTTAGATGTTCATTGGCAAACTTCAGACGGGCCTGTACATGTGCATTCTTGGGGTGGGGAACCTTGCTGGTGCTGCAGGATTTCAATCCATGGCGGTGTATTGTGTTACCAATGGTTTGTTTGGTGACTGTGGTCCCAACTGCCTTGAGATCATTCACAAGCTCCTCCCGTGTAGTTCTGGGCTGATCCCTCAGTTTCCTCTTGATCCTCCTTTCCCCATGAGGCAAAATCCTGCATGGAGCTCCAGACCGAGGGCGATCGATGGTTACTTTGTATTTCTTCCATTCACGAATAATCGCTCCAACAGTTGTCTCCTTCTCACCAAGCTTCTTGCTGATGGTCTTGTAGCCCATTCCAGCCTTGTGTAGGTCTACAATCTTGTCCCTGATGTCCTTTGACAGCTCTTTGGTCTTGCCCATGGTGGTGAGGTTTGAATAGAAGAGAGATTCTATGGACAGGTGTCTTTTGTACAAATAACGAGTTGTCGTTAGGAGCACCACCTTAACACCCTCCCGCCCGGCCTATAGCAGATTGATGGCTGGGCGGGACACTCGCCCTTGTAACAGCTGTCAAAAGCAGCTGTGCACGCAGCCGCGTGATCTGCCACCGGCTGTGTTTATGAGACACAGCCAATGACATACCACTACATCGGCCCGTTACCAGTGCTATGTGACCGCTGTGACCAATCACAG